TTTACGCAGTTACGCAATTTGTATAAAACTAGTTTTATAATTTTTAATTTATTCCTTACCTATTTTTTGTTTCCTTTTTATATAAAAAAGTGTGAATACAGATTTTTGAGAAATTTGTAAATGTGGTAGTCCCACTTCCCCATAGATTAACCTAAAGTTAAATGTTCTGACCTAAAGTTCCAAAACTGTCCATCTATTTAGTTTGAGAATGTGTATTGACAGTACTATTTCTAAAGAATATCCTACACGAGTTGAAAAGTTATGACTTTTCTTTTCAAACAGTTATAGTGCGCCATAATTTTAGAAGGATAATTTGTTTTTGTTTTTTTTGGCGTTTTTATTGATTTTGAAAGGAAATAAATACATTTTAGCTCTTTTAGGTACGATTTTGAATGCATAGACTATAACGAAAAACAAAATAAAAATACATCTACATTGTTGTTTTTACATAGTAAAAACAAAATCTTCTTACATTTGCAATAAAGCTAATAAATATAAATTTCAAATGCCTTTTTTTAAAACAAATTTAGGATATCAGTGACGTATAAACTTTATTGTATAAAATAAATGCGATTAATAATTTTCGAGTGAGTAACGATTAAATAAATGTATATTATATTTTGTTATTTATAGCCTTTTTCCATAATCCGCTGACACCAATAAAATTTAGAGATCAAACGGTATCGTTAAAACGTTTCTTTTAGAGAGGGCAACGTTTAATGGGCCGAATAATAGCAATAGCGAAGTAAAAGAAGAAAATCGTGATCGTTGAGTGTAGTATGAAAAAAAATCAATATCAAAATAATAGCAATAATAGTTTAATATAATGCTGCAAGAAAGAGATAATATAATAAAGAAAAACGAGTCTCTATTGTTAGGTGAAACGTTGAAAATTACATTCTAACATAAACAACATAAACTTTTCTCCCAATGAAAAACTTATACTATTTATAACAACATGAATACTACACAGTTTCAATAATTCTAGTTTACAATATTATTAACTAAAAGCAAAAATTGTGACACGGCGCAATGTATAGGCAATATGGATACATAAATGTACTAGGAGTCCTAAATATGTTTGTTTGCTCGTCTTATGTATTTAATGCACTTTGAATATTACATTAATTGCGTTCTGAAAATAATCTTTTAAAAAAAATGTAGTGCCTGACATTGGATAGCATTGCCCTTAGTCGACGGGCATAATATAAAGACCTGTGATTTGGTCCGTGATTTGGCATCCACCACAATGCTAAGCCGACTTATCGTCTAGCTAGATATAGACAGTTTAAAGAAATAAAGAACACAAGAGGAGAGGTTTAACTTTTATGCGTATTAAGTACATTAAAAACCATCAAACGGCTTTAGTGCATTATACCAGTATCCATTTATTTTATTGTCGTGTCGAGTGTCTTATAATCCATCAGTGAAGTAACACTCCGATTCAAGTAATCACACTAAAATCAATTTTATTCTTCGCCAGCCTTATTCTAACAAATAAAAAAAATCTACAAAATATAAAAATGCGATGATATATATAATTACAGGGTGTCAGGCCGGGTAGTTTTCTTGTTTAATAATTTTTTATTCAACTTCAATTTTGTCCTAAAAAATAAAATATTTGCAGATTTTAATGTAATAACATTATTTAGAACAAACTGATTTAAACCATATTAATTAAATAAGAACTTATTTCGGAGTACATTTTGGAGTTCGGAAAACATGGCTAGATACCCCGTATAGTAGTATTGATATAAAACAATTTTTTATTTTCATCAATATTAGAAATTACTATATTATGATAATGCGTTGTGCAATATAAAGTTAAAATTGACCAATAAATAAGATTGCAAAGTAATAAAAAAAAAACAATTCACTTTATATTTTTTAAAAACCATAAATACGGAATAGCGAGTTGTAATTGTCCCTCTCGGGCCTCTACCAAACTAAACTTTATTTCGAACGAGAATTGAAATGTTTTATATAAATCCTATACTTTAAAAATAACCAATGATACGTAACTAGTTACACACAACTACTATCGAAATGATTCATACTTTTATGACAAAAACAAAGTGTACTATTTTTGGTCGCAAAAATTTAAGTTCTATCAAAATAATAAATTATTTATCAATCGTCGGTAAGTTTAATTATGTTTTTTGTTACTTTGTTTTGAAAAATTTAATAAGACACTATAAACACAATGACATGATATAAAATATAGACGTTTGTTTAATTTTAATGAGCAAAATAGATTTTATGAAAAGTATTGTTGGTTAAAATAGTGAAATTTACCAATTTCCACGTTACATGCGTAAATGTAGTACTGTGGGCATGACATCGTAAGAAGCGTAGTAAAATATAATATTTTTAATAGTACCGAGTGATCCATTTAACGTAAGCACTCATTTTCTGAGGAAATAATTACAACTTAATCATTTTAAAAAAAAAAAAAAATACTTTTAGTTTTATAATTTTAAAATATAATAAAATTACTATGAAAATATTTTTTTTCTACAACGTTATCAACTTTTGAAATATGTACAGAAATGTGTATATTTAACTACTTTCCAAATTAAGAATACTTTTCTAAAAATGGTGTCTGGTCAATAACCAGTTTTGAATAGTTACTAAAGTTTTAAGTTTATTATGGAAGGAAGGGTGGAGTGTAGTATTATTTTTATATGTGAGCATTGCACAACCGCACTTCACCTCCTGTCTTAAACTTTTAGCTTTATCAACCTAAAAACTAATTGTCCAAAACTGGTTATCAACCACTAAAAATATTTAGCAAATTATTTTTTATTTAAAAAGTCAATTAAATGTAAACGTTACCATTTCAGTTTTATAAATTTATAGTGCTCTGGAAAATACAAAATAAAGGTAAACATTTTTTTAATTTTATAGTATAACAAAAATAACATAAATAAATATGTTTTCAAAAAAATTGTAATTAAATTCCCAAAAAATGAGCGTTGCATATTATAATTGTATGTTTATATATAGTATATTTTACGCTTTGAATAACTGCTCTTCGTTTAAGCGAGACGTTAAACTTGTTTCAACTATAATAAATGTAAACGACCATTTAATTAAGTGTTCCATAAATCCACTAGTAATTATGTCATCCTATAATTCCTTCAAAAATCTTTTAACGAACGGCAGATGGTAATGGGACGTAAAATCGATATTTGTATATCCGTCCATGGGCAGCACCGTATTCTCACAATAGCGTCTTTTCTATAATCGAATGTGCTTCTATTTGCTTATACAACAATGTCAACATAATATATTTTTACTACATCAGAAAATATGTATTGTCGATAACACAATAATCTTGATCAAGTAGCGATTTTGTCGTATATTTCTACCATAATAATATTTACCATCAATATTTAAACGATAATGGTGTAACCTTAGATAGAATACTACAAAAATAAATTTGTCTTCTGTACTAGAATAGAACGAAAAAAACATATTTATAGGGGCGTCTACGCTTTTCGCCACCGGCCACAATGACCTTAGTCCGTTAACACCATGTCCGATTTCCGCCAAAATAAATTAGAATATTTTATTACCTAATATTTGTTGAGAACTCCTTATTTTTTTAGTGTTCTACATTTTATTTATGTATTTCTAAAATGTATATTTATTTTGTTATTACTTAAAACTCTAATTACACCGTACATGACATACATTCACGATATACGCATCTATACATGCTAATAATCATAATGATAATATAATACGCCATCAAAAATGTATGCGACTATTTATTGTATTTTTTAATTGATTATTTTACTGCGTTTAAGTGAGTTGTATTTATAATATCATAAAATATTAAAGGGATTACGAGTACTCATGGCCATATTATACTAATTTTCAAACATTTTAAATTTAACCATGCGGAGGTGTACAAAATAAGCATACAACTCAAATGCTTATAAAAAATATAATATATTAAAGATTATTCAAATTTAACACAATCTATTATTTTAATTTATATACTAAATAGGTATCATTAAGTAAAAAAACAATTTTTATAGTAAAAATTGTAATATAAAAACAAATAATAAATAATAATTATAAACTCATTAGAATCTAGCATCTATTTCAAACTCGTTTATAACGTACGATTTTATATATTTAGGTTCAGGGGTGTTTAAAAAATATTAGATATTAAATTTTGGTCATTTTGGAGGAAAACGGAAATTTTTAGAGTTAATTAATAGTTGTAATTATAAATTTAATTCTTTATTGTATGTGCATTTTTAGTCAAGAGCGACAAATGTTTTCTTAAGGCAGAGGTTGCGTCTAATATAATACGTACTTACTTCTATTTCTTTTTAAAGCTCCTGGTAAAAATATGAAGGAAAATACAGTGAATTAAAAAAAAAGGACGACAAATCCACCCTAAAGACGAATGAAGGCAATAGAAGTTTTGGGACATATGTGATAAGCCACTTTCCCCGCGTTTGTCCCATTGAATTATGTTTCCCTTTTCTTTTTTTTTAACTCCGTTTTCCACGTCACTGACTTTAACCAAACAACTAAAAAAAATTCGGATAATATTGCTACACAGCAGCGAAATAAAAAAAAACTGGTTAAGATCGTTACCGTTTGAACATCAAGTATTTGGTAGCTATAATATACTCTGATCACACTATCATATCGTTTTATTTTCCAACACGTTTCGCCAATATAGTTTTTTTATAAGAAAATGTTGTTCTTGTAGTAATATTTTGTACCAAAAATAAAATCTGTAAACATTTTGACAAATACAATATTGTTAGCTATGTAGTTACAGTACAGCTGTTACTACTGTAGTCAGATTTAATCGACTACTAAACATTACATGTACTAAACTGGATGTAATTTTAGCTTCAATATTGAGTTCAGTACAGCTTACGCGTTAATGATGTTATACAATGTAATAGGGTAAATAATAGTCGCTGTACCGATACTGTAATATTATAACCGGTGGATTTGGGTGTTCACAGGGATGACGGCGAGACGACAATGACGACCAGCAGCGTCACTTGAAAGGCCGGTTATGCTCGGGTCGGCGAACCCGGATGTCACTTAAATGGACGGCGTCAACGTCACGGCCGTGACCGACCATAACGGATCGCTGGTGTCGTGGCCGAGAAACTCGACGAGCCCGACGTCCACGTACACGCCGCTGGAAGCGTTCGCCATTGGCTCTGTACTGTTCCTGGTCATTGTGGTCACCATTGTAGGCAACATACTGGTCTGCATCGCCGTGTGTCTAGTGCGAAAACTCAGGAGACCTTGCAATTATCTGCTCGTCTCGTTGGCCGTGTCCGACCTGTGTGTGGCCATACTCGTCATGCCACTCGCATTGCTCTACCTAGTGCTGGGCAAATGGCCATTCGGCACGTTCATGTGTGATCTTTGGGTACGTATAAAATATGTGTCAGGTGATACCTGTCATACTGGCGGGTGATATTATTTTTACAGCTATTATCCTTTCCGAACATATACATGTATATCGATCGTCGATCGATCGCGATCTAGGATAAATTGACGATAAAAATAACTGACACCTATAAAAATCTTTAGGAAAATTTTCTGAAATAATTTTAAATTAAAAAAAAAATACTTTCTGATTATAATTGACAGACAAAGCGTGCTAACTGTCGATGAATTTTCAGGTGTCTTTCGACGTACTATCGTGTACGGCTTCCATATTGAACCTGTGCATGATCAGCGTGGATAGGTATTACGCCATAACCAAGCCGTTGGAATACGGTGTCAAGCGAACTCCACGCCGGATGTTGGTGTGCGTCTCGCTGGTTTGGCTGGGCGCCGCGTGCATAAGTCTGCCTCCCGTACTTATACTGGGAAACGAACACTCCACCGTGGATGGCGTTCCCCATTGCACCGTATGTCAGAATTTCGGCTATCAGATATACGCCACGCTCGGTTCGTTCTACATACCACTGACCGTTATGATCACTGTCTACTACAAGATATTCCGGGCCGCCAGGAAAATCGTGCTCGAGGAGCGCCGGGCACAGACCCATCTGGAGAACAGTCATTGTTATCTGGAGATAAGTGTCAAAAACGGTGTTGGCCCGGTAGAGTCGAAGATCGCCACGGCTGAACGCGGCCACGGCGGCCACAGAGCCAGCAGCAGCGCCAGTACCACCACCACGGTAAGTGTGCTGCTACACGTTAAAATAATAACACCTAGTAGTATTATAAAATATGACAAAGTCTGCGTTGGTCATAATGGTATAGGTACGTTAAGTTAATTGTGTCACAACGTTAAGATGACGTTATACCCCCTATTTTTTAAGGAGTTAGGTATAGGCATTTTTTTTGTAAAATCGTAATTTAAAGGCTAAACTGTGATGTTTAATTGAATTGGGAATTTCGAAAAGGGCTCATATCGGAAAATTAAAATTTTTTTTTACATATTTAAAATAATAATAACTTTATCTAGGTTCTCTCGTCGGCTTTTTTTGATATTATTAACCCAACATTCACAATTTATATTTTAATTCTGACATTTTTTAACTTTTTTAAGTGCTTGTATTTAAGGTAAAATTAATTTTTTCCATAAAAACCGACGAGAGAACCTAGTTAAAGATTTCTTCTTTATAACGGTACCAACATTTTTATTCTATGACTAATTTGCTTTGACCTACACGCGTTACTGTAAAACCCTTTTTTACAATTTTTTTTAAAGGATTTAACGTCTTTAAAGAATATAAACATACGAGTATTATATTAAATAACAGATATTCATGCAAGTCAAATATAATATTATTATACGAAGGTAGTTGTTAAAAATACACATGGATGGCTGACTTAATTAGGATATAAGAGTTTTAATTAAACCTGCAATTAAAAATGCATGCATATATAATTAGTGTGATTTCAAGACTACAAGAAAAGAAATTATTAATTTCACAAAGTTTGAGTTTACTCGCTTAGAACTTTTTTCACAATGCCTGTGGACATATTTTTATTGACATAAATAATTAAATACACAGGTACGTTCTATAATTATGTAGATACAAATTTAATTATTGAGTTTTATTAACCCTGACTCGTTTGTGCTTTAAATCACTAATTTATCAAACTAAAACCTGTTAAACTAATTTTACATCGTGCCTTATATTTGGCATTGCAATTAGGGGCTCAATTATTAATTACTATAAGACAAAAGTACCTACACATTTAAAATTAACTCGAGTTATTTCAAACAATAATGCAGCTCTTAGTAGTATTAAATTAGTACACACTAATAATAATGTGCAATATATTTTGTTCTTGCACACGAGGTTTTTTAAACGCAGGATTAATCAAATGAAGAAATATAAATAATGTGTGCATTATTTTAACATATTTCGATGGGTCGTATATTATTTAATATAAGCTTTCACAACGCACATATTTTGAGCGCATTAAAACACAATCGGATTTTTTCAATCACGCGTATTATACAAATATATAAGTATATTTGTTCACAACGCTTGTATCTTTTGTATCCTTGTTATAATGCTTTTGATGTTTTTTTCGTCCGTGCCTTGTCTTTTGAAAACTGTCGCCTGTGGCACATAGCCCTAACGGATACAATGAATATATGTACATTTATAAATACAAATAATGCGTATTATTTCTATCTATGTAGTATGTATAAAATATTTGTTTATGAATTATTTTTCTTGTGCCCGAACTCTGTGTACTTTGGGTATTCACCGTGCACTGTTGAAAGAAATACCGTTTCAGCGCTGCAAAAAAGTATCGACCGACGCGTGTACGTCGTCCGCTGAACATATTAGACACAAAAAAGGTTACATAGGCCACAGACAGGTAAGTAAAGAGAAAAGCCGTCGAACCCTCTGCGTCAACTGCCCGTGTAATACTCGTACCATTTCGATTAGGCACACAGGTGTCCTCTTAAGTATGGAATATTGATATCGTGCGGCAGCCACACATATCTTGGGTATTTTTTTCCACCGTTTTTTATCCGCATATCGATTTGGCTGTCGCCTATTGCTGAACAGTATGTTATTGTTTTCAATACATATAAATAGATATAATATACATATGTATGTAAGTGTTATACATATATAAATATATATGAAAACGAGAGAAGTAAGTAAGCCCGGTGCAATGAATACAGCTTGTCAGCCCTTAAAATTGATGAATGTTTCTTTCGCTGTTTCACACCCCTCCGTCCGGCACCGCGACCACACTCCGTTTCTAACCGTTAGCTACTTTTACCCTACTTATACGTACACTATGCCGTCGTCACCATTAACATATGCACGTGTAGTATATAAAAGCACGAACGAGCGCCGCAAAGGTCGTTTGTCCGTCACCGGCTTAAGGAAGCAAAAAAAAAAAAGGCTTACAAATTAAAGTCGTCACCGGTAAGTATTCTGATTATTTGCACTTAAACTATTTTTTCCTTTGGCACCTTTATGGTTTTCGTATTATATTTCCACGTAAAACGTTGGTTTCTTTTTTTTTTACTTGCGTATTCAACTTACAAGACGTACAGCTGTTATGGGTCGTCATCACCGACGCCACCTCTACCTTCGTCACGGTAAAGTGAGCTCTGTAAATGTGAAATACTACCGCGTATACAAAAGTCTAGACTCGAGCTACGGAAGTTGCGAAAAAAATATACACAGTATCGTTTAGTTTAGTATTTCGTAGAAAGTACTTATTTTCAATAGACATGTATAATATATTGTTTTTTAATGTATCCAAATTTGGTTTTTACATTAAGTATTAAGTAGGATGTGATTGGGTTTACGATTTTTATGAAGAGAGAAATTCTAAATATAATTATGATACAATTACTAATGGCTTTAATCATTATTTAAAATATTTGAGCAACTCGAAGTACTAAATGATTATTACGGTAAAAATTCAATACTTATTGGTCGAGCGAGGAGTGTCATAATGTCGTGTAATCAATATTACACAAATTGTAAATATTATTAGACAATTGCTATGATTTCAGAATATAAACGTTACACTGATATGTGCTTAAACTTTTATTGGTTTATAATAATATAAACTATAATAGTATAGTATAGAATATAATTAATCTATATAAATAAAAATTAAATGCTGTTCGTAGCTAAAAATAATGACAATTAATTAAATATGTCAGTTTTAGACGAAATAAGTAGTAAAGGTAGGTAATAAGAACTAAGACAATATATTTCGTGGTGTATAATAATGACCATATAAAATGACAAAAGTATGTATGAAATATTTTAGTTTTTGATTTAATTTATCACAACACTCTGCCGATTTTCGTTAGAAAAGCAAGATAATTTAGAAATATAATATTTTAAAATACCTAACGCTATTGTTAATTAGCCATATAATATTTAAAAAAAAATATTCTCGAGGCACGCCGGTTATTAGCTATTCGTAGGTATTTGTAACACTAATAAACTAAATTATTTAATTCTATTCCATTACGTCTCACGGACATAATGTGCAGACTACAGTCATAGAATGGGTAAAATAACAGTAAATTATGTTTGCATCTACGAATAAAGATACGGAAACAACAATATGTCATAATAACGTGTCGTGTAATATTGTATGTTACAACTTATGAGTTACGAGAAAGCATCTATAACAACGAATACTATCATGATAATAATATGTATGTTGTCGTGTTGCGACTTAAGCTGTTTGAGCCTGTGCCCTATAGCAACACACACTATGAAACCCCGTACAAAATAGTTTCCAGAGCTATTTATCAATATTCACACTTCTATTTGAAAGTTATTCACGCTAAAGTAATCGACATAACAGCAGCGTCGTGACGCCGGAATAGGTATTTACTATTTATTTGCCATTTGATGTTGCAGACAAATTCCACGAATCGTCGAGGTACAAGAATAATATCGTTTTGTGCACTGTTCCATTTAATACACATTCCGCAAATTATAGATTAAATTAACCTCGCAAAAACACTTTGTTAGCTCAGTGTAAATGGTAAAAAAAAACTGAAGTGTGAACCTTTATGTGTAATATAATATCATTTACATTGGGCTAACGAAGTGTTTTTTGTTGGTATATCAGTAATTATTTTAACGAAAAATAATTATAAATGATGCGGATAATTCACTCATTATTTCATCAGATAGTTTTTATGTTATATTAAACCACAAAGAAATGATTATAAACTAAATACAAAATTATTATTGAAATCCGTAGCTAGAGATACCATGTACACGACACGTGACAACAGACAATAGACACGACAATCGTTTAACGATTCGTATGAGTGTTGATGACCCTATAGACCTATAAATAAATGGCGTGTTAAAATATCTATTGGCTATTTTGTATATGCAGTAGTCGATATTAAATAAAAGCCCAAACAGATGTTATTCTAAGCTTTTCAATGGAAAACACTATTTTCGTAGCCAAACTAAAATACTGAGTATCCTTTCATGATATTATAATATTTATTATATAACAACCCAATAATGGTATAACGTTAATATTACTACACGAAAAGCTCTGGCAATTTTACAGACTGTTCCGTGTAGGCGGTCGTAATGTAAAGTTAGAACCATCCGGTTAGGCCTGAAATTGGTAGTTTTATGTACTCAGTTGCCGTTAGGTTTGTTGGATATCCGGTTAGCCTTCCCGCTATACATGGTTTCCTTACACTAATCTCAATATTGATGTGGGAGAAAACCACTCGCTCCTAACAAACACCTATTTTGCACAAATGTTGCCGTACTATACCAGACGCGTTTTGTTCGACATGTTCATTGTTATATTTTAAGTCTTAGAGACTAAGGAAAAATAGTAAATACCTCATTCCAACCCACCACCTCTATTGAGCTATTTTTTTGTATAGTTATGTCTGAATACTCTCTTATATGTGTTATAGTTTATTGTTTCAAAAAATCGGTGAGTCAAACAACAAAATGTATAATATATTCGCATTAAAAAACTTAAAACTGTAAAATATTTTACATAATTATACACAACCGGTTATGTACAAAGCAAATGGCATGTTATAAATCAATTTAAAAATGTGTTTTTATGTTCAGTTGTAAATATATACATTATGGAGATACCGGGGCTAGCTTCTTTTTTTTCTTGAGACAAGCAGCAAGAAATTAAAACGGTAGACCGCAAAATTATAATAACAATA